GTTAGTTGGAAACGACACGTTACTAATCCGCATGCTTGGTAGATAATGATTGAGATTGCTAGTTGGTGTGTTAGTTGAGATCAACACATTAACCATCCATGTAACCCTTAGGTATATCTGCCATGACACCAATTTGTGTAAGTGTTTGAAATATCTATATTAAGGAAAGTAGAATCATTCAAGGTATCTCATCTTCTGAGTGTATGTTTCATCTTTGAGTAAGCTTCTCTCTAAACTCTAATGTTACATTTCAGTAGAAATATAGAAACAAAACTCTTAAGCAAATTTTGTGTGAGGATTTTAATTCGTCAACAGAAGTTTGAGTTACATTGTACTTTTTAGATTATTGACGAGTGTTTGTAGTTAAATGATGAGTATAGAGTTTGTGTGAGAGAATGTTTGGATTACCTTCTAGAATCATGATGAGCTTCCACAAAGTCATTTGATCAGTTCAAAAATCAAACAACATTCGTCGATCAACGTTTGATTTCACAAATGATGTTGTCATTCAACCTTTTGGAGTCTGTAATGTCACACATGCGCTCATCAACAGCTCGTAATATCACCTATCACACACGTGCTCAAGACATGCAAGCATGTTGCTACAACAACAATGAAAAGTTTACCCACGCTCGGTAGTGGTGATTTTGCATGTGCTACGCTTGTTTACAGTATAGTTATGGCACATATCAATCTTAATACTGCTCAAAATTGAATGCAACAATTGCGAAAGCCGGAATTCGGATTTGTATCAATGCGAAGTGAAGTTAAACTTGGCCGATTTGTAATGAGCATCTTATTTTTTGAGCAATTAGAACTAAAGAATCAGCAGAATATGAGTATTCAAGCAAGTTCCAGACTTAAATTAAACAAGAAAGTAGCTCCAAAAAATAAAAAAAAACTTTTTTTTTATCTCGCATCTTTATATTGAAACCGACGCGTTGGCTCAGAAGGCCAAGGGAATTTCAAAATCCATCATCATGATTGTCAATGCTTTTCCAGATGATAATAATGTCCAGATTTTCAACCGCCAAAGCACAAAACAATTTGCTATTAGTTATGTTTTGATTTACGTCATGATTTTGCTTGTAGTATTTCAACTTTCACTATGTCATGTACATTGAATGTGAAGAGCATGGAAACAAGATGGCTGAAGATTTTTTTGTTTATTTTTAAATTGACATTCGTTATTTATCCTTTCATTGAATACTTAACAAGTTATCACTAATTGACGTGTCTTGGATGTGGAGAGCGTGGAAACGAGATGGCAGAAGTTTGATTCGTCTATTATCTAATGACATTCAAAATTAATTTTTCCGTTGATTACTTAACAAGCTATCACTACTTAACATGTACAAGATATGAATAGCATGGAAACAAAATGGATGAGATTCATTTTGTTTACTATCTAATCGACTTTCGTTATTCATCTTCCATTTGAATATTTAATGAGTTATTGTTGAGGTTAACTCATGCGTTTTGAATTAATCTCTAGCTAACTTTATTTGGCTAGTCATAGCCTGACTTGGAGTATTTAATCCCAGAGCTTCACTATATTACGATCTGTTCTTCCTATAAGTACAGTAACCTTCTTGTTAGGTACGCAACCGTTTAAGTACGCATACCTTGTAAGTAAGCAATTTTTTTTCAAAAAAACACGAATGAAGTTTAGGATTTAGAAAAAGTCAAAAGAATTGTAGCAACAAAATGTCAAAGAAAAACACAGTGACAAAAATTAAACAACCACTCCACTCATCACTCATGGACCCTTACTTCATCAAGGCTTAACGCTTCATTCGAGACTTTGCTTATGAGTTCCAAATTTGAATCGTAGTTTAATTCCACTAGGTGATTGCTTAAGGACTTTAGCCTACGATCTTGACTAGCCTTTTGACTTTGGACCGAAGCACCAAAAGATTTTGTGTATAAACTCCCAGGTATGCATTCGGAGTTGCCTTGGAGTGGGCAAGCATCAAATCATATACATATACAAATGATCCAAATGAAGTAAGAATTAGGATTGTGCATAGTATGAATCAAAATGATTAAGAAGTGTTCAATATAACGTCTTCGGGTTTGTTAAAAGTTGCCCCCCTAAAGTGATAGCTTTTCAGGGAGGTTTTTTATAAGTTCAAAGAGAAAGATTTTATGTTAGTACTAACCCCGATAAAAAAGCCCATGTCCATGCGCGGTTTTGAGGAATCCGTGAATGATTGATCACAAGCATTAGAAACTTGAAGTTAAAAAATGTGAATCATTTTACGAGCAAGATGAGCTTCTTCCGCATATTCCTCCAAAAACACAACTACATTTCGTGACTTTCGAGTGAAACCTTTACTTTGTGTCTGTGTAATTTTTTTACCGCAAACAATGTTCATATCTAATTTAATTTGAGTGTGACATTGGAATTACTATTATTTTACACAATCTGGAAACTTTTAGTTAACGTACTGTACCTCGTTTTAAAGTTCAAAGCAAAACAAAACAAAACATTGTTTTGTCCGAGCTTGGACACATCCTATATAGTTCACAGAGTTCATACTACACTCAAAGTGTTAAGCTAATATAATTGTGAACAAAACAATTATTCCTAGCCCAAACCTTGCTATGTACATACTTGTTTCTTTTAAGTACGCAACTCCTTGTTGAGTACGCAAAATCTTCCTAGTATCAATTTGCGTACTTAACCGGGAATTATTGTACATACATGTTGTGTTTACATGGACGTCGACAAATCAATCATAGGTTGAATCATGTTACATTGGTGTCTTCAATTACCTTCATTTGTTAATTTTTGCTTTTGAGTATGACTTTTGTTGAAGAACTTAAAGCTACCACTTACGCGATATAACAAGTTATTAGTGATGTAAGTGTCTAGCTCTCAAGCAGTATTGATGAACATGGATTCCATATCCATTTGAAAGCTATGATACAACCGCTCTAACCTAATATACTTAGGACCGGGTGCTTGGTATTAGTTTAGAGGGGTTATCAAATAAGCGGGGTAGGGAATAAACAACAATCGGATGCTAAATAATGTGACTATGACGTGATAGAAAACATGTAGCTTTGTATTACTCTTTTGGAGTGTCTAGTATAGGTCTGAGAACTGGGAGTTGGTTATAGAGTCACGTCTAATCACGCCGGACCCTCAATTTGTGATTCATGTACACTCGTAATACAATTCATTCCTCTCCATGGTCTCACTAACGGTCACAATAGGCACCAGAAATGCCACAAAAAGTATCACAGCAAAGATGATATAGAAGGACATTGTAGAACACACACTTTTGTAGCTTTCTTTGATTCGTACCATCTTTTTTTTTGCTTTTTCCGGAGTTCGTAGTACTCTATATGAATTTATGAAAGTTGTGAGACCAGTAAAAATTATTGAAAATCAGTTAAGAGGGGTTTATTTTATTGACTATGAGGCACGAGTTGGGAAGAGCATCTGAGATAAGTTTAGAGAGATTTTATTGCATAACCACCCATGAACAATATTGTCATCCAAAACTCACTCAAGACCAATGGACATTCACAACCAATGTTGGGCTCTGATTATTAGAGTTCTATAATATTCAAGTAATGAAAAATATGGTAAGTATTTTGAATCTAGAGTTAAATTCTAATGTAGATTTATATTCTTAAAATAAATACAAGAATATATGTGACAAGAATGATTTAGTCAAGAATAAAATTGTGTGAAACCCATTATTTATTTATTTAGATCACAAGGAATATAACTTGTTCAACTAAAAAAAATGATGCTAGAGTATTTACTATAAACTCATAAATAACATTGAGGATGTATAGATTCTAAATATTATTTGTTCTTATAAAAAAAACTATTATATTGCATTTACATATAATAATGATATTTTACTCACTTTTTATGACATCCATTTTTTCATTAGTCACATGTAATATTTTACACATAATTTACGAGACTCTAAATCTATTAATATTTTTTTGATCATTGTATGTATGGCAAGTAGTAATAGTAAGCTTACTTTTACTTCGGTAATGGGATTCGAGGGAGTAGAGCTTCAACATCATACTATCTTGTAACCTGGTCAGTAAATTTGTGTTCGCTTACATTCAAAGATGCTTAACATCTTTTGGAAACAAATTCGCATTTACCATGGCTTAGTGGCATGTTCCACTTTCGTTTTCATCCATGCAAAGACACATCCGCACATACTAAAAATACTAGACAGGAACATCACGTTTCTACCTTAAAGAAGCAACTCTAAGCGGAACAAAGTCAAAGCCAGGTGAGGGTGACAAGACCGCTAAGCGACAAGAGGTCAACTCATACTTCACAAAGCGCAAGCGAATCTACTGCACGTCAAGTTCAGATTCGGCGCTCATAATCCGAACTTACGTATTGTGTGTCATGTCACGGCACGGGGTTTCCGGCGTTTAGAGCAAAAGCGTCCTAGATCGCCTGATGGCAGGAAGATATGTCGGCAGAAAAGCCGGAAAGCTTTTATCGAATTAGAAAGTGCAAACATGCCTCGAAAGGAGAATAAAGGGAATACTACCATAAACTAGTAGGTCAATGCCGCAAGGACAACATAACACGACGGGTCAAACGAGAGCAGAAAACACGGAACCACAAAAACCACAGAGCGTGGAGAGTACCCGCCGTACAAAGGCAACAACCACATGAAGGCGAGATCGGACCCGGATACCGAAGAAGAGGACGGGGAACCCCGATCCACGGCCGCAGAAGGTGGAGGAAGCAGGATGGAGGTGAGATAATCCGGCCACCGTATCACACGTGTCTTGGTGTGTTCGTGCTTTAGAGCTGTACAGTTTGTACAGCTCAAAGCGGCCGGGCGAGAAAGGGACGAGTCAGCATTGCTCTTGGCGTCCCAGTCAACAGAAGCGTGCACATTCGAACGACTCGAGTCCTCGCGAACCACTGCACCGCGCGGACCAGCGTCCCGCGGGGCCGCTCCTGACCGCGGTCAGGGGCGCGTCCCTTTTCGAGAGTTCGAACGCACTCGGCGCTGAGGCGACGGGTACAGCGCTGCTCTCTCGTACAAGGTCGTCCGACGCTGCTCCAGTTTCACTTTTACTTCGTCCCGTCTTCGATTGCAGCCGACGCTGTGTCCGCTTGACAGCAGCCGCCCCGGGGCTCTGCTCGTGCTCCATCGCGGCGTCAGGCTGATTTTCGATCGGTGCGTCGAATCTCGTGCGCAGCCTTCTGTGCACGTCGTCGTGTTTGTAGTGTGCTGTTCCCAGAGATCGAGAGGCTCGGAGTGAGTTGAGTGTGAGTGCGAGTGGTGCGCCATATCCAACGCCGAGGAGATTTTGCAGACTCGGGAGCCAGAGATTGCTTCGTGGGTGGGGAGGTATGTCCTGTGGCGTGGGTCTTCGGGGAAGGATTTGGAATGGGGACGTGACGGCGGCCGAGGAGGGTTCGGTGGGTTCTACATGTCTCATGGGCGCTTGAATTCGGTTCCGGAGGAAGAGACCAAGATGACAGGGGCAGGGGCCGGGGCGGAGGCAGGAGCGAGGAGGACTCGGGACCTGTTGAAAGGGCATGCGCTGCTGCAGGGCTTTTTTTTGTTTGCGTTGCTGAATGCTGCTGCCGTGTCCTCATTGTCGGCCGATGGATTGGCGCTGGTCCAATTCAAGAAGGCTGTCACCAATGATCCTTTGGGGTATTTGAGCGACTGGAATGAGGCGGACGCTGTTCCTTGTCAGTGGAGCGGAATCACTTGTCGCAGCGACGACGCGGTCACCGGCATCAACCTCAACTCGTTGGGTTTGAGCGGAGTTGTTCCGGAGAGTCTCGGACAGATTAAAACTCTCGTGAACGTGTCTCTCTCGAACAACAGCTTCTTCGGTCCTATCCCTTCTTCCATTTTCAACATCTCGTCGCTCGTACATCTCGACCTTCATTCCAACGACCTCGATGGCTCCATACCTTCGGGCTTCTCCCCACTGGTGAACCTTGAGTACTTGGACCTGAGTGAAAACTTTCTGGCAGGGTCCATCCCCGTGGACATTGGCAATCTAGCTGCGATCAGAGTGTTGAATCTGTCCAGCAACGACTACAGCAACCAACCGTTCCCTCCAGGCATTGCAAATTTGACGAGTCTCGAGATACTTGAGCTGAGTTACTCTTCGCTGGTTGGAGAAATTCCTGAAGAATTGGGTAATCTGAAGAAGCTGCAGGAATTGTACCTTCAAAGTAATGGCCTCACTAACCTACCTGCTTCCCTTGGGGGCCTCGACAGTGTCTGGATTCTTGACCTGTCGAATAATGAAATTAGAGGCACGATACCGGTGGAGCTGGGAAATCTCAAAAGCATACAGGTCGTTCGTATTTTCAATAATCTACTGAGTGGACCACTTCCGAAGGAGCTGGCCAATGCAAATGCAACCTTGATAAATCTCGATTTGGGGAACAACTCCTTGAGTGGCCCCATCCCTGAGGAGATAGGAGATCTGACACTTCTTCTTCTGTTACATTTACAAATCAACCAGCTCAATGGATCCCTTCCTGACAGACTTTTTTCCAGAATGACTGTTTTGGAAGATGTTTTCATCTACAACAATAGTTTCACAGGCACATTGCCGCAGGATCTGGGCGAGGTACAACGATTCAAGAAATTTGATTGCTCTTACAACCTTCTGGAAGGCCCCATTCCACCGAACTTCTGCAAGGGGGGTAATCAGATGCAGAGGCTAGTTCTCATGTATAATATGTTCAATGGATCAATTCCTGATGCTTACGCAGTCTGTCCTACCCTCTTTCGTATACGGCTGAATAACAATCTTCTGACAGGTAATATTCCCCGAAGCTTTGGAGTGTCCCAGGTTATAAATTTCCTTGATTTGAGCTATAACCTTCTTAGCGGGTCCATACCTGGAGAGCTTGGGAACTGCTCTGAACTTGAGAGCTTGAAAGTCTCCATGAATCTTCTCAATGGAACGCTGCCTCCCGAACTCAGCAATCTGGTGGAACTGGAAGCGGCCGGCAACCATCTGACAGGAAATATCCCTGTGGAGATTTGCCCGAAGCTGACCAAACTCGTACTCAGTCAGAACAATCTGTCGGGGCAACTTCCTCTGGACATTAATGTTTGCTCAAACCTCGATCAGCTGTACCTGGACCACAATCAAATTTCTGGCGTCATCCCTCCTGCGATCGCTCTGATGGAACAACTTGGTCAACTCAATCTTGCGCACAATGAGTTGACAGGTTCGATACCCCCGGAGCTGTCAAGCTCGAGGAGTCTATCAAACTTGGATGTTTCTTACAACGACCTTGCAGGCCCGGTGTCGCTGACCGGCTTCTTCGCGACTCTGAATTCCAGTAATTTTGAGGGTAATCCAGGGCTTTGCGGAGTTGGAGATGCGAACGTCGTGGAAGACATCCTCGCGCCCTGTGCCACGTCACCGTCGAGTCCTTCGACCCAGTCGAAGGAGGACGATGATCAGAAAGATCGAACTACTCTCATAATACTGATTGTGGCCGGCGTTTTGATACCATTCATGTGTTCGTTGTCAATGTGTCTCTGCATTCGCTCGACCCGCTTCAAGCAATACATAGCAAAGAAGGAGGCCAACAATTGGAGCATGACCATGTTTCAGAAGGTTCCTGACCTCACTGTGGAGGACGTGCTGAGCGCAGTAGATGATGAAAACTTCGTGGGCAGTGGTGGGTCCGGCAAGGTGTACAGAGGAGAATTGAGAGTGGGAAAAACGTTCAGAGGCAAAACCAGAACAGAGGAGCAGCCGTTTGTTGTCAAGAAGCTTAAAGGTCCTGTAGAAAGAGGTTCGGGCCTCTTCGACCACGGGTTCAGAGCAGAGGTTGAAACTTTGGGAAACATTCGGCACAACAACGTGGTCAAGCTGCTCGCTTGTTGTAACAACAATGACACGAAACTGCTTGTGTATGAGTTTATGGAAAATGGCTCTTTGGCAGATCAGCTGCATGGAAGCAAAGGACATTTGCTGGACTGGGATACGAGGTATAAGATTGCTCTGGGTTCTGCACAAGGTTTAATGTATTTGCACCATGACTGCGTTCCTCCAATCCTGCACCGAGATGTAAAGAGCAACAATATTCTGCTAGATGAGGACTTCAATCCTAGACTTGCAGATTTCGGCCTCGCTAAGCTCGTTGAGGGAGCCCAACGAATGAACACAATGTCCTTCGTGGTGGGATCCCATGGCTACATTGCGCCAGGTAACGACTTCACCTCCTGTCGAATAAACGTACACTGCTTCAATCTTTTGGAGTCATTTCCACAATGTTGCTCGTCCAGAGTATCAATAGACATGTATGCAGATAACACTTCCTACATAGTTTAAAATTTTACTTTGCTCTCCAATAGCGGAAATCTAAGCGTTGGGTTTGCTCGTAGACTCTCGGATGTCCTCATCGCAGTTCCCGTTCGTCACGTCTCAGTTTTCATTGCTAATCCTTTGGTCGACATTGCATGTCATAGAATTAGCCCTCCAGACCCCCTTATTAGGAAGACGAGAATAAGTTTGCTATGAAATCTCAACATTTCAAAAGTACGGACTAAATCTAGGTATTAATTTCCTTGCAGAGTGTGCGTTCTCCATGAAGGCCAATGAGAAAAGCGATGTGTACAGCTACGGTGTGGTTCTGCTGGAGCTGGTCACCGGGAAAAGGGCCATAGATGGAGACAATGACGAAGGGGAACACGTCACCATGTGGACACAATGGAAAGTTCATGAGAAAGATGGATGGGTAGGGGCTCTGGACAAGCGTCTGGGTGAGGTCTCCGTGTCCGCTCAAGAAGAGATGATCATGCTTCTCCGGCTTGGTCTCTACTGCACTGCGGTTCAAGCTGACGCAAGGCCCTGTATGCAGGAAGTAGTTCGGATGTTGATCGACGTAAAGGCCACCTCGAAGATTCCAATGCAGGGGTTGGATGGCAAGACCACAACAAAGCTACCGTTCGTTGTCGACGAGAAGCTGCCACCACCCATCAACCTTCCCAAACCTCAACTTCCTGATACGCCCAAGTCTCCCCCTCCTCTGATCACCCTTTGATATAATACGATCTTCCATCAAGGGATACCATTTTATTTCTGTTGTAGACTATACGAGGGAACTGTGATATAATCCCAACGTACGATGTAGATACGGTGTAACAGTGTAGAACTTTAGAAGAGAGGAGAGGAGGTGAGGAGAATGAGTTCTAAGAAACCCATCACGCTGTCTTGCTGATGTGCACTGCGGGGACTTGGTCAACAAAATTCTTTAAAGATACGTCTGCTTGAAGACCGTGACCCTGACCAGCAATTTTTTCAAGTGTCATCAATTTCCATCATGCAATTCTCGGCTTTCTTTCAGAATATCACAGAATGTCAACGTAGGGTGCAAGAAGATTGGAAGGAGATTACATACTACCGGTCAAAGTTCGCGAGACTCCGAGCTGCCCAACGAGTTGACAAGAAAAGAAGATTAAAGGAGTTACTGATTTCTCGACGCTGGTTTAAGATCGAAATCACATCATCTGCTCTGAGAATTACGATTGCCAAGATAATCCAGAGAGATTCCGACTTCCGAGGCTGTGGGATTTGGATCTTGCTTTAGTTCGATCTCAAGATCTGGAGATTGCACGAACTGGACAAGATCAAAAGTTCCCCAACATGGAGTGTGCCGTGAAGTAGGAATGGTCTGTATGCAACACTAGTCAACACAGTTTAGTGACTTACATACTGAAAAGGCCTGTGGACTAAGTAATATCTTCGGACATTTATATGCGATGAATGCAGCGGGGATGTTTCCTCTTCTGTCTGTCGTTGAACTGATATTGAGTCTATTCGTTCAGGCCCTTCGATGACCAGCTCGATGACCACTATAGAGCCGAGGCAGATCAAGCTGGTCGTGAGAGCCACGTGGCTCTTCCAGAGGAGAGATGCTGAGCTCTTTACCCGCGTGTCTGAAAGTATTTGTCATCTAAAGCCAGCGTACTATATCGGATATAGTACAGATATATCCTCCCCTCCCACGGCACCGAACTAAACTATAGAGCTCCTTCGGCCTTGATTTCGCCGGGTGGATTTGACCCTAATAAGTAGAAATACATTTCTAATAAAGTTCCCTCGATAACAAATCTTATCCATCAACCAATTAAAAACATTGATCATAGTTTTTATTTTAAGATAAAAAAAAACTGATGGACTTCACCAACAAATGTGAGAAGAGATACATGCGATTGGCTCACTTGGATTCACTAGAATTTCAACTTAAATATGATTAATTTTGATACAGTCACTTAATCGAGCTCTTAGATGTAAATAATATCACCAAGTCAAACCAATAAAGCACAATTTCAAGTCACGGAATTCAAAAAATCATGAGATGTACCGTTTTTTGAATCAAAAAGAAATAAATCAATGTATTAAAAAAGATTGGATTATTTAAACAACATTTGGTTTTATTAACGATTACATATGAAGTTATTGTATATTTAGCTCTAAGACATTGATAACTGACTAAACATTATTACAAACTTAATTTTATATTTAAACTCGTATTTTATTTTATAGTTACAATCATGAAGTCTGGTTCTTCTACATGTAAGAATCATCAAACATAATCTACTTATATATATTTGTAAATTATCTAAAAATTCGTGATTTTTATTCATAAATTATTTTTACAGATAAATTGTTGAAATATTTGTCAGAACATCAAATATTTAGTAACTTTTAAGAGAAATATCTTAATTTATTCTTATATAATGGGTAATCTATTTATTTATTTAAACCTATGTTATGCTCAAATCAGCATTTCCATGCTTTTAGTCCAATTAATGCTAAATGATGAAAAAAATTGATATTTGTAGCAAATATATATATATATATATATATATTGTCAAATTTATATTTAAATTTCAAGTGACATTTAACAATGATTGTATCTTTCATAAAAGATTAAGTAAAGTTGATCACACGCAAATTATTTCTTACAAATATGTTGGGTAGATTTTTTGAAATGCGTCATTTATTTATTATCATATACAAAATTTTTTTGATTAATTTAGTTTTATCCAAAACATGAGAAAGAGCGTCAGTAAAAATTCAGGTTAAGCTTATTTTTAAATTTTAAAACATTTCTAATTTTGATTTAAATAATTTGAACTTACAAAAGAATTTCAATGGTGTAACAAAAATGCTCAAGAAAAATCCAAAAAACTCCACGCAAACACAATATGGACAAAATATACATGGTTAGTTACTCTCAAATTGCATCATGGGAACAATGGTATCTTTATTGGAAAATAGCAAAATGTTCAACTGGAGTTGTGACTTGCATCTCACTATATAAAGTGTAGTAAAAGTACCAGATCTAATCCTCGCAAACGGTAAGTCTAATTTGAATTTTTACTTGAGTTAAGTGAACTAAATTTTAACTCTATACTTGAACATGTACTGACAATTTTACTTTTAACTCATGTCATGGAAATAGTAATCTTCATATCCAATATAGATATTTCACTAAAAGAAAAAAAAAACCTAACATAGATTTCTTTTTGTCATATAAGGACTAAGCTTTAGCCAACATAAATGGAGTCATCAAAAAGTGATACTAAATTCCACTTCTTTTCTTCTTGCAAATTTTACATAAGAACACAATGTTTACTAAATTTTTCAGAGAAAAAATTTGGTCATTCCAGCAATTTGATTAAATTTACCATCAATCCTGACTAACTTAATTATTTTATCAAACATTGCAGCTCTAGTAAATTGATATTTATTATTGATGTATTTTTTTATGGTGTTCATCTTTTTATTTTGATTATCAAATTGAAGATTGACAACCTACTATTTCAATATCATCTCAATGATAAATATGTTTAATCAAATATACATATTTTCTATTTTTACATATTTAGTTTTTGTTGTAGAATGAGCTCTGCAATTTTGCAAAGTAGTTTTTCAATTGATACATATACCATCAAGTGTAAACAAATACGTAATTATAAATATATCATTAAATGTAAACACATACCCGTACATTTGCTCTTGTCTAAAGCTTGTACATAATCAACATCAACTTATCATATCAATGATTTGGAATTGTCGAATAAATCATCAACATTATTACATCTTTTTTTGAACTCTTCAAGTACTTGGGAATACATTTTATCGCTTCTTAGTGCATCATTCTTGGATTTGACATATTGAGTTTGACCATGATTATATCAGACCTTGTGCATAACATCAAATATATGATACTATCCATAGTTTTGTTGTGAAAATTTGATGACATCTTTTTCTTCTCAATGACATCGGTTGAACATTAGATTGCAAAAAGTTTAAAGTGTGTTGCCAAATAATTTCATACTCCTTTAGAGTTTGTCAAATTTAACATGATAAGATTTGTCTTGATTCAATCATAACCTTTTTTTTCCAAATTTCTACGAATATTCATTCCTAATATACTCTTGAAATTATCAAATATCCTTCAAATTAAATTCCAACTTTAATTGATTCTTAAATCCATCAACGTCAAATCAATTTTTAGCTTCATTGTTTAAAATCTTGTATACTTTTTATTGCAGAGCATAAATCATCATACTTTCTTCTTTGAAGTAACTTCAAAACTGTTCAGAAGTATATTTCTCATCATTATTCATATGTTAATATCTCATCTTTTATCCAAAATAAATTGCAACTTTAACTTTCCAAATTTTGGATATGATAAAGACATTAGATTCTTATTTGAATAAAAATTCACACAAATCTTGACTAATCATCACTTAAAAATTTGTAGTTAAATTTTTGTAAGAGTGAGACTTTTGACAATTCTTTCCGTATATCATAATATACATAATCAAGTAACTTTTTGGATATGTGAATTTCAAAATCAAAGTATTGTCCATGATGATTGCTCATGACACAATGTTCACAAAAGTTTAATTCACTTTTATATTACTTTATCACACATGACAAAAATTCATATGTAGCAAGTAATGAGTTTAATTGACAATAGTTTTTTTTTCTCATTGTTAATCAAAATTATAATGATTAATGATTAAATTATCAATGTCATTTTGAGTCTTGATGCTTAATTTTGTTATCTTAAAGTTCAATTTTTTGTATCTTAAAGCTCATCAGCTTCAAGAAAGCAGACAACTTGTTTGACAACTTCTTGAGATACAAATGTTGCTCAAGATTTTTAGACAGCGATGAAAAAATGACATTTTAATCTGATTGCTTTGAAATTAAAGGTTCAAAATGTAGATCTATTATGTTCATAGCTTAATCTTAAAGATTTCTTAAACTATTGCAGTTGTAGATGTAAGATTTGGATTTTAATCTTTTGACTAGATCTATAGTTTTAAGCTTGCTCTTTAATTGTCTCTCCTATAACAAACAATCATTATATTTGATAGATCAATGGCATGTTGTAACGTATTGAAAATTAATCAAACATAACTACGTTTATAGTTATAGGATTGATAGGGTAAATAAGATGAAAATTATCATTTGAAACTCTGATAATTTCTTAAGTAGTATAAATAAAAAGGTAGAAAATAGATTCCCAAGCAAGTTTGGAGATTTCATTATCAGAACTTGTTTCCTCAATATAGGTTTGAATTATACTAAACTTCTTAAAGCATTGATGAGTGTTTATAATTCATTGATGAGTGAAGAGTATGTGTGAGAGAGTGCTTGAAACATGGGCAAATCGAGGATTACATTTCTTCTATGACCATGATGAGCTACCAAAAAGCCATGTGAAATATACATGTGTGAGAACTAGCCCTGCAATCTCCAGGCTCATTCTCACTTAAGTTTAATTCTGATGGCTTTTTTGATAGCTTGTCATGTAACTCGAAGGCTAAGATTCATTCTCATGCTCATGCTCAAACACATTTTCACACTCCACTCATCACACACATGTACAATTCAAGATATTGAAAACTTCACTAGTTCATTGATGAAACAAGTCTTTACACAATAAACTCTCCAAATTTGCTTGAGAGAGTCTACTCAACTCTTTATTTATATTACTTGAAAAATTACCATAGTAACATATGATAATTATTTCCCTACTTACTTTCATTAAGATAAACATTAGTAGCAATGACTAACTCTCCATACGTGGCAACATACCATTGGTCTACCTAAATCTTCTAGAAGCTTTTCAATCCTGAGGTTTAGGCAGCGACATGTGATTGGAGTCTTTCAAACCTCTAGAAGCATTCTTTGACTCTAATTCAACATTGGTCTTAGTGTAACCAATGATTTTTCATACACTAAATCAAACCAATCACTTCTAATCTTGCAGTCAAAAGTATTCTCTAAACTTTTGTAAAAGATAAAATAGAAGAGCTATCTAAAATCTTCTAGAACTACTCTAATTATTTTGTCAAATATAGATACTATAGCTAAACTTAATTCTCGCTAGATAAACTTAATTATAACTAACTAGACTTAATCACACCTAGTTAGACTTAGCTAGGTTTAGGCTAATCATACTCCAATCATTGGCTACTTCCAATATTATGCCACACATACAACAACCGATCTTACAGTCTAGAGGTCACAAAACTTGATCTTTCAAACCTTGTTTGAATACTACCAAGTCTTTTGTTTCACCCATATACATGATGAATATTTCAAAATTACTAATATAATCATCAATGTTTTTTTCTTGCTTCAAATTTCACAATTTCATTTTTGCTAAAGAACATCAATAGCTTAAAAACTTTGTAAAAGTTTTTAAGCATGTCACTTGACAAAATTAAAGCACCTGATAGCATTTAGTTTCATTTATTGTGTCATGTGATTATTTTATCCATGATGTGAAACCTCATGAACATTTTTTCAATAAAATTAAAAACATGAAAATAATTAAATGTATATTCATCTTCATAATCCAATATCTAAAATTCTTATTGTTATTTCCTTCTTGTATTTTTTCACTTTCCTTGACTTTTTCATCTATAACAAAAGATTGATTTGATCTTGAATTTGTCTACTTTTTAAC